GAGAGAGAGAGAGAGAGAGAGAGAGAGAGAGAGAGAGAGAGAGAGAGAGAGTGAGTTTAGGATTTCACAGTCAGACAACAAAGTTTAGAGACGGATATGTATATAATTATATATATATATATACATATATATATGAATGTATGTATATATATATGTATATGTATGTATGTATACGTCATGTATATAGATATATGTATGTATATGTATATGTATATTGTATATATTACGATTGTATTCGGTAGAGCTTCGTATATTCATTATCGTTATTATTAAAACGTGCAGAGAAAGGAGGAGATTCGTTTAATTTCTCATCTCTTTTGGTATCATTTTTGGTCGATCTTTTTGTTTTGTGTTTTTTTTTTCTTGTTTTGTTTTTTCATTTTTTGCTTTTTTTTCTTTCTTTTTTCTTTTTTTTTGTTTTTTTTTTTTTTCAACTTGTCCTGGCGATGATCAGCTGTTCGTATCTTTCGGGCATTTATCCGTCGTTCTGAAAAGTGAAAAAAAAAAAGAAAGATGAATATATTTATGTAGATTGAAATGTATTGAATAATATTCACGCGTGCACAAATTACTATTGGATTGTATTCAATTGTATAAATAATAATAAGTAATAATAATTAACGCGATAATTAAGCGCTGATAATACGCTCTTTTTTTTTTTTTTATAATTCATTCCACACGGCGTACTCTATTTTCTAATTTTTCCTTTTTTTTTCTTTTTTTTTTTCTTTTCTTTTTTCTTTTTTTTTTTTCTTCTAATAAGCGTACTAAATTGCACAAATATAGAATATTAATCCTCTGTAATTTATTTTTCTCTTTCTTTTTTTTTTTTTTAATTTCTTTTTATACATTTGTTTTTTGAAAAATGCAATTTTGATTAATCGAAGGATTTATCGATACTCCATTACATTGAATTTATTAATAAAATATATAGAAAGAATTCAAAGGGAAAATATATTTTCAATTAATTAATAGTAATAAAAAATTAAATTAAATAATATCGTTATAAGAAAGAAAATTAATTCTTAATAATCGAATTTATTTCATATCAATTATATATTACAATTCGTAATATGATTATCTTGTAAAAAAAGATAAAATAAGAAATTGTAATTACGGAGGATTAACATATATATCTATCTATCTATCTATCTATGTATATATATATATATATATATATATATATATACACATATATGTATATATTTACATAGAAAATATGTAAAAAAAAAAAAAACAAAAATATACATACATATACACGCATATATATTTATTGACCGATCAATATCATATATCTTCGATATTTTTAGCGATAGCTGAAAGAGAGGCGGGAATTCGAGTCAAGGTAAAATACCATTTCGCATAGATATATATATATATACATATATATATATATATATACATAAAGAAAGATCATAATATGTGTTCATATGTATATCGTACATATGTATAATTAAATTAAACACGGTGTGGTTTTTCAATGAAAAACGTTATCCGACACGTTAAACATTAAAGTGATATACGTTACGCGATCGTGATGTCGACGTCATTCGACGATTCACCTGCGCAGGTGCATACTAAATAAAGGTTTGATAACCTTGTGCAATGTACAGCATAATCGCTTTCACCGATACGTTTCGGTAATTAATTATCCTTCCGTTCCAACTAGATAAAAGCACTCAATACAACTCCGGAATTGAAACTCATTGAAATTCGAGAGCCGCATCGTTCCGCTAATTAATTTCAATTACTAATTCGAATTGAATCCGTCGAAATAAAGATTTCACCTTGACTCGATCGAGTACGAAAGGTTTCGTTGTATTATCTCTCGTTCTAGATTTTTTTTCTTTTTCTTTTTCTTCTTTTTTTTCTTTTTTTTTTTTTTTTTTTTTTTTTTTTGTTTTTTTTCCTTTCAATTTATTTTTTGTATCGCGTATAACGTTTCAAGTTCTTCCCTTTTCATTGTTTCTTTTCTTTTTTTTATTTTTATTTTTATCTTTAATACCAAAATTAAATCGATCAAATATTTTTGAAACGAACGAAAAAAATCTATAATCAGGACGAGAAATAAAAGAAGAAAGGAAGAAGAGAAAGGAAAGTAAATTGGTTCTCTTAATTTTTTTTTCTTCCCCCATTCAAATAAAAAAAAAAAAAAAAAAAGAAAAAAACGAGTAAACACAACTATATCGAAAGTGTAAGTTTCTTCTGAATAATTTCCAACGAGAAAAAAAATTTTCTTTATACAAGAATGATATTTAATAAAAGGAAGAAAAAGTTTCGATTATTTATTTTATCAATCTTATGGCTAAAAATATTTCGATTCGCTTATGTTTATATCTATATACCGAGGCTTGTCATTATCATTGTATTAATACTTTGACGTTATTGTTAATAAGAATAATTTGCACGTAAGAACGAGAAATGATGATAAAAAAAAAAAAAAAAAATAAAGAAAAAAGAAGACGAAAAAAATTTCTCCGTTCATAAGTTTTCATTTAAT